ACACCTGGGACACACCTGGGACACACCTGTCACACCTGTGTCACACACCTGTCACACCTGTGTCACACCTGTCACACCTGGGACACACCTGTCACACCTGGGACACAGCTGGGACACACCTGTCACACCTGTGACACACCTGGGACACAGCTGGGACACACCTGGGACACCCCTGGGACACAGCTGGGACACACCTGTGACACACCTGTGACACCTGGGACATACCTGGGACACACCTGGGCACACCTGAGACACCCCTGGGACACCTGTGACACACCTGTGACACACCTGGGCACACACCTGTGACACCTGTCACACACCTGTCACACACCTGGGACACACCTGGGACATACCTGTCACACACCTGGGACACACCTGGGACACACCTGGGACACCTCCCAAAATTGGGGACACCACTGGGAGTGACCACCGGGAGTGACCATGGGGAGTGACCACTGGGAACGACCGCATACGTGTCACACACCTGGGACACACCTGGGACACACCTGGGACACCTCCCAAAATTGGGGACCCCCTCCCCAAATTCAGGACCCCCCCAGTTCAGACACAGCCACACCTGGGCCTGGCTGTCCCCAGTGTCCCCCACCCTGGGGCTGTGTTTGTCCACTCTGGGGGGGCTCTTCCCCCTCCCCAAGGCTCAGGGACCCTTGGGGACCCCTCCCAAAATTGGGGACCCCTCCCCAAATTCAGAACCCCCCAATTCAGACACAGCCACACCTGGGCCTGGGTGTGCCCCACCCTGGGGCTGCGTTTGTCCCCTCTGGGGGGGCTCTTCCCCCCACCCCGGGGCTCAATTCAGAATGGGGACCCCTGGGGACCCCTGGGGACCCCTCCCCGAATTGGGAGCCCCCTCCCCAGCTGCAGCCCCCTACCAGCAGGTAGTCGGCCCACATGGCGCGGGCGGCCTCCAGCGCCTCCTGCCGCAGCCGCATCACGTGCTCGTAGCGCGCGGGGCTCCAGTGCTTGGGGCCCTCCTCGTCGGGGAAGGACCTGGGGGCACGGCGGGCTCAGGCACCCCAAAATCCCGGGGAGACCCCCCAAATCTGGGGAGAGACCCCCGAAATTGGGGGACCCACAGGGACACCCAAAACCTGGGGACAGTCCCAGAATTTGGGGACTCCTCCCCCTAAATTTGGGACCCTCCTCGTCGGGGAAGGACCTGGGGGCACGGAGGGCTCAGGCACCCCAAAATCCCGGGAGAGACCCCCCAAATCCGGGGACCCACAGGGACACCCAAAACCTGCGGAACACCCCAAATTTGGGGAGCCTCAAGGGACTCCTACCCCCAATTTTGGGTTCCTCCTCGTCGGGGAAGGACCTGGGGGCACGGCGGGCTCAGGCACCCCAAAATCCCGGGCACCCACAGGGACCCCCAAAACCTGGGGACGGTGCCAAAATTTGGGGACTCCTCCCCCCAAACTTGGAAGGACCTGGGGGGCATCTCAGAAACCCCAAAATCCCGGGAGACACCCCAAAACCCAGGGAGACCCCCCCCCACATCTGGGGAGAGACCCCCGAAACCCGGGGGAGACCCCCGAAATCGGGGGACCCACAGGGGTCCTCAACACCTGGGGACAGTCCCAGAATTTGGGGACTCCTCCCCCCAAACTTGGAAGGACCTGGGGGGCATCTCAGAAACCCCAAAATCCCGGGAGACACCCCAAAACCCAGGGAGACCCCCCCCCACATCTGGGGAGAGACCCCCGAAACCCGGGGGAGACCCCCGAAATCGGGGGACCCACAGGGGTCCTCAACACCTGGGGACAGTCCCAGAATTTGGGGACTCCTCCCCCCAAACTTGGAAGGACCTGGGGGCACGGGGGGCTCAGGCACCCCAAAATCCCCGGAGACCCCCCCCAAATCCGGGGAGAGACCCCCGAAATCGGGGCACCCACAGGGACACCCAAAACCTGCGGAATACCCCAAATTTGGGGAGCCTCAAGGGACTCCTACCCCCAATTTTGGGTCCCTCCTCATCAGGGAAGGACCTGGGGGCACCGGGGGCCTCAGACACCCCAAAATCCCGGGAGACCCCCCCAAAGATAGTTTTGAGCCCCCCCAAAACGTGTCTGTGCCCCCTGAAGACGTGTCAGAGCTCCCCAAAGCCCCCCAGGAGCCCCAAAGGTGGTTCAGAGCCCCCCAAAGCCCCCCCAAAGGTGGTTCAGAGCCCCCCAGAATGTGTCAGAGCCCCCCCAAAGGCGGTTCAAAGCCCCCCCAGAATGTGTCAGAGCCCCCCAAAGGTGGTTCAGAGCCCCCCAGAATGTGTCAGAGCCCCAGGCGGAGCCGCCCGGAGGAGCCGCCCGGGCCGCGGTCCGGCCCCGCCAGCAGCAGCAGCAGCAGCAGCGGCCACGGCCGCGCCGCCATCTTGGGCCGCCCTCACGCTGGCCACGCCCTTCTCCCTCAGGCGCCTCACGCTGGCCACGCCCTTCTCCCTCAGTCCCCTCACGATGACCACGCCCACGCGCGCGCTGATTGGTTAACCCGCGCTGCGACCACGCCTATAAATGCCATATATGGGGTCGGCCGTGAAGCCGCGCCCCGTGTTATTGCCATATGTGGCATGGTTTTGGCCACGCCCACTAGGCGGTGTTATGAGGCTACGCCCCGTTGGTAGCTATATATGGTCACGCCGCCTAGCCACGCCTACATAACCATATATGGAGTAGAAGCTATGAGGCCACGCCCGCTGTATGTCCATATATGGGGATGAACGGTGGGCACGCCCCCTAGTGGCCACGCCCCCTGCTCCCCTCAGAGATTTTCCCTAAAAAATTTTCATTTTCTGAGGATTTTTAACTCCGAATTTTCCCGTTTTTTCAAAGGGTTTCACCACCAAAATTCCAAATGGGAATAAAGGGATAGAGATGGGGAAAAATGAGGGGAAAAAGAGGGGGAAAATGGGGAAAAAAGGGGGAAAAAGGGGGAAAATAGGAGAAAAAAGGGGAAATAAGGGAAAGAAATGGAAATAAAGGAGGAAAAAATGGGATAAATGGAAATAAATGGGAATAAAATGGGAAAAAAGGGAAAAAAAGTTGAAAAAAGGGGAAAAGGAGGAGAAAAAAGTGGAAATGAGGGAAAGAAATTGGAATGAAGGAGGAAAAATGGGGAAAAATTGAAATAAATGGGAATCGGGGGGGAATGGAAAATAAGGAAAAAAAGGGAAAAAAATTAGGGGAAACGGGGAAAAATTGTAAAAAAGGGGGAGAAAAAAGGAAAATAAGGGAAAGAAATGGGAATAAAGGAGGAAAAATGGTGAAAAATGGAAATAAATGGGAATAGAAGGGGGGAAAAGGAAAAAATGAGGAAAAAAAAGCAAAAAAAGAAATAAAAGTGACTGAGCAGGGATATTTGGGAGGGGGGATGGGCTGAGGCCGCTGGGATATTTTGGGATTTTTTGGGAGGGGGAGGAGCCGGGAAGGTCCGGAATGAAAAGTTCCTTTGAGGGGGAAAATTCCTGAGGGAAGGCGGCAGCGGCGGGAATTTCCTGGAGAAAAATCCGAATTTTTCAGCTCAATTTTCTCCTTTTTAACCCTCCCAGTCCCTCCCAGTTTATCCCAGTTTAAATTCCCAATTTTCCCATGAATAAAGAAGGAAAAAATTCACTTTTTTGGTTCCAAACAGACCCAAAAGCAGCTTTTTTCAGCCCATTTTTATCCCTCCCAGTCCCAATTCCCAATTTTCCCATGGATAAAAACCAAAAATTTTCACATTTTTAATTCCAAAAGGACCCAAAATTTGCTTTTTTCTGCCCATT